ACAGTTCTGGTGGCTGTAATTCTGAGATCAAAGTGCCAGCATGGTTGGGTTCTGGGGAGGGACCTCGTCCTGGCTTGCAGAGGGCCGGCTGCCTTTTGCAGTGTGCGCACATGGCAGAGAGAAGAAACTCTGGTGTCTCGTCCCCTTCTTAAGGACGCTGATCCCACCAGAAGGGCTCCACCCTCATAACATCATCTAAACCTAATCACTTCCCAAAGGGATGCCATCACATTGGGGGTTAGGGCTTCAACATATGAATTTGGGGGGCACACAGTCCATAACACTCCTTATGTAGAAATCCCCTCAAAGATAGCCTTTTGGTCTTTGGTTCAATACTTCCAGTCACTACCAGGGGACGTGACCCAGCCCATCCAGTATACCCTATTGTTAATTTGGACTCTGTCGGCTGTGAGTGAAAAGAACCCAACTCACACTGTTAGGCAAAAGGTGGAATTCAGTGGCTCAGAAATTAGAAGCAGTTGGGTAGGACTTGATCCACAGACTTGACACTGCACTCTTCCTTGATACTTCCCAGCTGTTTCCCCTCTGTTACCCCTGTGTTGCTTGTGTCACTGCCAGCAGCACCGGCTGGCCTCCTGACATTTCCCCTCAATCATTTCAATACAAGCCATAGGAGGGAGCTTCACCGCCCTGCACCTCCTGAACCAACCAGTGGGTTGATATAATTCCTGGGGAATGTAATTCCGGGTTGCCCAGGTTGAGGCCACAAGCCCAGCCTTTACACTAGGAATTGAGTCCATTTAAGTCAGACCAGAAAAGCTGAATAAAGGAAAGCTGCCTCCCCTAACAAAAACTGAGTTCGTTTTATAAAAAGATGGGGGTGTGGATCCAGGGCATGAAAAACAACTGGTATCTCCCATCCCTCCGGCTGATACTTTGCTCTTGTCTTTGTTTCCCAGCTCTTCTTTCCCTTCTTCAAACCCCTTCAGGTGGGACCACTCTTCTCTATGCCTGTTATCCCACCGCATTTTTTTCAAAGCACCCTAGTCCCTTCCCCAGTATCCAGAGGTGTACCAAGTTGGGGAGGGCTGCTGGCGTGATCTG